GCGGGGGCCCGAAGGGAAAGAAAAAGAATGGAAGGAACAGAGGGGGCAAAGCCAACAACCCTCCATACCTGCCCCCTGAGGTGAGCACCTGAGACGTAGCGGGGCGAGAAGAAACCACTCCTTCCGGTCCTGGGACTCCGGGAGGCGGGACAGAATTAATCCCCCTTCCGGTGTCGAGACCCCAGGGAGGAGGGGTGCGGGAGGAGAACCCCTCTTTCCGGTCACGGCACCCCAGGGAGGAGGGGCATGATGTCAGGACCGCAGAGAGGAAGAGTGGGGAGGGAGGACTCCCTTTCTCATGTAGATTAAACCAAGAGAAGGGGAAAGGGGATCCCTTCCCCTTGGAAAAAGCAGAGTGAAACACCCCGACCTCTTGCCTGTGCTGCGATAGGGGAAGAGAGACTGCATCCTGGGGGGAGGAAGTAGGCTAAGGAACCACCACTTTTCTAAACTTGTTTCACAGGGAGGAGGGGAGTACCCGGGAAAAGAGCAGTGTGTTCCCTTTCTGTCTCTCAGTACACACACACACACACACACACACACACACACACACACACACAACCAGAGACAGTCAGACTTAGTCCACTCCCACTTTGCCTTTCATGTGAGGGGGTGAGAATAGAGAACTAGCACATACCTGCTCTATCCTTAAAGCAGAGAATGACAGCTACTTTGTCCTCCTTAGGAAAGGAGGTTGCAGGGGAAGAGCCTAACACTGGTTCTCAAACTTTGGCATGTATCAGAATCACCGGGATTGCTGGGCCCCACCCTTAAAATTTCTGATTCAGTAAGTGAGGGGTAGTCCTGAGAATCTGCATTTCTTACAAGTTCCCGTGTGATGCTAATGTTGCTGGTCCTAGGACCACACTTTGAGAACCATTGACCTAGCCTGTCATCTTTGTACTACATTTCTGAAGCCAAGCATCCTAATTCTCAATCCCCATCACAATGATAAAAAGATTTCTAGAAGGTCTTTATTGATGGGAAAAAAAAGTCATCTCCGTTACACACCGTGGAGATTATGGTGAAGACCTGTTAGGGTCTTGGAGCCAGAAGGCCTTGAAGGGCTGGAATGATGACAGGAAGGGAAGGGGGAAAAGAAAATGGCCAAAGAGGAGGAGTGCAGAAATGCAGAGTGGCAGAACAGGCAAATTCTGGATCCCTTTGCACCCAAGAGGGGACGTCTCAGGCAACAGGGTGCTTTGGTGCTGTGCCACCACCTGGAGAAGGTATTCAGGATTTCACCTCAACTGAGACACGAAGGTTGGGGCAGGAGATGAAGACCAGAGGTTTCTCCCTTCATTACATTTTCTGAGTTTCTTATCTCCATCTCAGCTCCACCTTTGGAGCTCTGCTCCTCTGTCACCTAGGGCTTCTCTGTCACCAGGCTTGTAGTGACCAGTGCTGAGCTCACATTTTGGCCTTGGTCCAGAACCTCTTATAGCCTCTTACTCTAGATGACATCAGCTGAGATGAACAAGGAGGAAGGAAATGGTGTCTCCAAGGCTAGTGGCCTCAACAGCCTGGGCATAGAAGCGACACAGGCTTCTGGACATAGCAGTCTGAGGCTCTGAGGAGAAGGAAGAGACTATCTTGGATCTAGGAAGAATGTGCTGTCGGTGCTCGAAGAAAGGTGGCACTTAGGGTTCTGTCCCTGGCTTAAGTGGATGACTCCTTGTATCCTCATAGGCCTCCTCAGAGAGGCCACACTGGGGCTGGGTAGAATCTTGTCTGCCACAGACTCTCCAAATGAGAAGTCGATTATGCTAGTGACCTTTGGCAGACACTTACTTAAGCTGGTGCCTTGAGGGCTTCCCACTTTCTCTTTTTATTTTTTGAGTTGGAGTCTCACTCTGTTGCCCAGGCTGGAGTGCAGTGACATGCTCACAGCCACTACAACCTCAACCTGCTGGGCTCAGGTGATCCTTCTGTCTCAGCCTCCAAGTCGCTGGAATTACAGGCATACACCACCATGCCCAGCTACTTTTCTTGATTAATTGTAGAGATGAGAGCTCGCCAAGTTTCCCAGGCTGGTCTTGAACCCTTGGGCTCGGGCAGTCCACTCACCTCCTCCCAAAGTGCTGGGGATTATAGGCGTGAGCCACTGTGCCCAGCCCCACTTTCTTAAGTTAGCTGCCTGAACCCCAGTGGGAATTGAGGGGAAGCAGGGATTAGGTCTGGACAGCTTGTTATAACTACTCCCTGTTTCTTTTCAGGCTGAAGATGGAAACATCGAATATAAAGTAAGTCTTAGGCTGGGGAGAAGCAGGGACTAGGATAGACTGTCCTTGCTGGCATGGGATGACTTCTTGGAGAGACTTCCAGCTTCATATGTATAGCAACTTAGGGCTATGGCTCAGGATGAAGGCTCTATACCTCGTTCTGTTGGAGGGGGACTCACTGTTTATGGGCATTGGGGACAGGGAGTTTAAGTGGAAAGAGAAAGTCCTGGTCCTTGCAACAAGACAGCTGGGGACCATGTGGGTTTGGGAGGGCCATCTCTGATTTCACTTCTCATGATTCCCCGCCTGCCCTAAGCTGAAGCTGGTGAATCCATCCCAGTACCGCTTTGAGCACCTGGTGACACAGATGAAGTGGCGGCTCCAGGAGGGGCGTGGTGAGGCAGTCTACCAGATTGGGGTAGAGGACAATGGGCTGCTGGTGGGGCTGGCTGAGGAGGAGATGCGGGCCTCCCTCAAGACCCTGCACCGGATGGCAGAGAAGTATGCTTCCCCTTCCTCCTTTACTCTCCTTTACCTGGCTTGGGAGGACCCATGCATACCCAATTACCTAGGGCTTAAGGGGACAAGGTGGAACTTTCCTTCTGCTTCCTTCCCTGGAGTGGGGTAGGTTAGTGTTCTGGTCCCCTCCTTACTGGACCTAGGCTTTTTAGCTCCTTGACTTAAGGGGTGTGTGTGTGTTATTTTTATTTATTTATTTATTTTTTGAGTTGGAGTCTCACTCTGTCGCCCAGACTGGAGTGCAGTGGCCGCTCCCGGCCACTGCAGCCTCGACCTGCTGGGCTCCGGCGATCCTTCCACCTCAACCTTCTGAGTAGCTGGAATTACAGGCATGCGCTACCATGCCCAGCTGATTTTTTGATTTATTGTAGAGATGAGGTCTTGCCAAGTTGCCCAGGCGGGTCTCAAACCCGCAGGCTCAGGCAGTCCACTCACCTCAGCCTCCCAAAGCGTGGAATTACAGACTGAGCCACCGAGCCCGGCTGAGTGTGTGTGTTTTAAAGGGAACTTTGGGTGATGGATAGATTGGCGAGTGGTGGGAGCAGTAAGGTGTTGGGAACTCTGTGGGAGGTGCAGGTAGCCTGCAAGTCCAGGGCCAGACTGGAATAGGGGGAGTATGGGTGAGATATGGCAGCTGTGGCCTTGCTGTGACAGGGTTGGGGCAGACATCACCATTCTCCGAGAGCGAGAAGTGGATTATGATAGTGACATGCCCCGAAAGATCACTGAGGTGCTAGTCCGAAAGGTCCCTGACAACCAGCAGGTAAGCACATGCCCTTCCCTGCCCCTCACGTCCATACTCCCTGGGAGGGCCCTGTGGTGGCAGGCTGTCCCCTGGCCGGTGGGGCCCTGGGAGCTTGTAGTTCATTGCTTGCTGCCTAGCAAGCATCATTGCCCTTGACCCAGGCTTCAATGAGAAAGGTGAGGGAATGGAACCCTTACCCCTGGCAATTTATCCACAGTTCCTAGACCTCCGTGTGGCTGTCCTGGGGAATGTGGACTCAGGGAAGTCGACTTTGCTTGGAGTCCTGACCCAGGGAGAGCTGGACAATGGGCGGGGCCGAGCCCGGCTCAATCTTTTCCGCCACCTGCATGAGATTCAGTCTGGCCGAACCTCCAGCATCAGCTTCGAGATCCTGGGCTTTAACAGCAAGGGAGAGGTGCTGTTGATCCCGGGACCCAGTGGGGCCAGACTCTGAGGATGGGATGGTGGCAGTGAAGGATGTAGGTCAGAGGCAGAGTGTCGAGACTTTTTGGAGTAGTAGAGATAAAGGCCCTAAGGGGACTATGAACAAGTTCTGTCCTTCCTAGGAAACAAATGGGGAAATCAACTGGATTAAATTAAAAAATGGGGCTCAGGGTTGAGACAGGGTCATCCAGGGACTGGTTTAGGTCCTGGCAATTCTTAAAGGGTTGGGGAGGCTGGCAGAGGGCACTGAGAGCCTTGGGCTCTGGGCCAGGTGGTGAATTACAGTGATTCACGGACGGCAGAAGAGATCTGTGAGAGCAGCTCCAAGATGATCACCTTCATCGACCTGGCAGGCCACCACAAGTACCTGCACACCACCATCTTTGGCCTCACCTCATACTGCCCTGATTGCGCCCTGCTTCTCGTCAGTGCCAACACTGGGATTGGTATGAGGCATTGAGGCAGGGACAGGGTTGAAGGGGGGTGGCGGCTCTTCTCCTACCCTGGGTCTCCTTAAATCTAGGAGACAGACCAACTCTCCTTTTCTTCCCTCTCCTCCTCAATCTCTTCTCACTTGCTGCCTGCCTCCCTTCCCTGAGGCAGCCGGCACCACAAGGGAACATCTGGGGCTGGCCCTGGCCCTGAAAGTGCCCTTCTTCATTGTGGTCAGCAAGATCGACCTGTGTGCCAAGACCACGGTGGAGAGGACAGTACGCCAGCTGGAGCGTGTCCTCAAGCAGCCTGGCTGCCACAAGGTCCCCATGCTGGTCACCTCTGAGGATGATGCTGTCACTGCTGCCCAGCAGTTCGCCCAGTCACCCAAGTAAGCCTTCCTTGCGTTAAAGCTGTGATCCACTAAGAAAGCTGCCACAGGTTCTAGGGCTCAGGAGCATGGTATCCCAGCCCCAGGGCCAGACCAGTTCTGGCTCAGTTCTGTGGGTCTTTCAGCTTGGGATTGTGGGAGTCTGCTGAAGGGCTTGACCCTTCCCTGAGCCACCCTGGAGCTTTGCTGATGTCTGGGATGCTGGGGATAAAGTCCTGTATCAGGCATTTGCTGTATTTCCCTTGGGCTTTAGCATGGGCTTCATTGCCATATTCAGAACCCATAGTTCCTAAGCCATTAGCAGACAGGAGAGAGGAGCTCCAGATGCCCAGAGAAAAGCTCATCTTTCTATGTATGGGACTCTGGCTTCTGCTCCTTTTAGGACTTTCCTCATCTGCCTATTCCATGCCTCCTCTACAGTGTAACCCCCATCTTCACACTGTCCAGTGTGTCTGGAGAGAGTCTAGACCTCCTCAAAGTCTTTCTGAATATCCTGCCACCACTCACCAACAGCAAGGAGCAGGAGGAACTCATGCAGCAGCTGACGGAGTTCCAGGTAGTGGCACTCAAACAGCTAGTAGGCTAGCAACAGGGAAGGGCTGCTTCTGACCATGCCGAGTCTGTTTAGAAATTTTGGACCTGTCAGCCCTACTTGGCAGGCCACTGATAGAGTTTTCTTTGACTTCAGGTAGATGAAATCTACACAGTACCAGAGGTGGGAACTGTTGTTGGAGGGACACTTTCCAGGTGAATTGCCTTGCTTGCTACCCTCCCTACTCAGCCCTCACCCTTATACCTGAAGACATCCTGGCCCAGAGGAGGAGACCCTGGAGTTGAACAAAACCCCTCTAAAGGATGTGCTTGTTTGCGGATTAGGCTTTCACATCAGAAGAAGCTGGAGGAAGCTAGTCTGTTGGCTTTTGAGGGAAGAAACAGTATTGCTGCTTGCTAGGACTCTCTGGGCCCCTGAGGGAGAAGTGCAGGCGTGGGTCCCCAGAAAAGAATGTAGAGTATATTCAACTGAAAGAAGAGAAATGAGAGGTCACTTAAGGCTCTTTCAAAAGCAGAGAATGAAACCCAAATGGATAATTTACTCCTTCAGGGTTCAGGTGTTCAGTGTTGTCAAGCCAGCAGGTAGCTCTGCCAGCTGTCACTGGTAGTCTCTTCTGGTGTTAGCCTTCTGAGTCTGAACTCTGGCAGTCATTCCCCCTACATCCAAGTCAGAATTTAGAGTTCCTTTTTCCCACTTGAGGGACTCAACCTCAGAAGGGAAGGAATGCTCTGGATGACCCTAGCAAGAAGTAGGTTGGAGGACCCATACTGACGCTGTGCCACCCGCCCTTCTGGGCTACAGTGGGATTTGCCGTGAGGGGGACCAGCTGGTGGTGGGCCCCACGGACGACGGCTGCTTCCTGGAGCTGAGAGTATGCAGCATCCAGCGCAACCGCTCTGCCTGTCGTGTGCTGCGAGCTGGTCAGGCTGCTACGTTGGCCCTCGGGGACTTTGACCGTGCACTGCTTCGCAAGGTGAGGTTGGAGAGGGAACACAAAGGGACATGCGTAGGAAGTCGGCAACTGAACAAGGGCACCCATCTAAAGTGCTTCAGAGAAACTGAAAGGAGACACGGTCTGTGATTCAAGCTGTCTAGTTACACAGACTATGTATAAAAATGGCTTAGAATACCCATGAGATACAAATCACTGTGAACCATTATGGTGCAGCCTGAAGGTGTGCAGGACCCTAGAAACACAAAGCATTTGGAGGTTAGCGGACATGGGAGGTAGGGAGAGAAGGGCTCCTCTAAGGAGAGTTTGGAGTTCTGACTTCTGTTTGGAGCTGTATAGTGGAAGAGGAAGTTCAGGAGCTGTAAAGCGGGTAGGGGTGGCTAGAGAGGGAAAGGCCTGCTCTTACTGGGCCTGGGGGCTGTGCCTCCCCAGGGAATGGTGATGGTGAGCCCTGAGATGAATCCTACCATCTGCTCAGTGTTCGAGGCAGAGATAGTCCTACTGTTCCATGCTACCACCTTCCGACGAGGATTCCAGGTGACAGTACACGTGGGCAACGTACGTCAGACGGCAGTGGTGGAAAAGATCCATGCCAAGGTGAGAGGGACCCAGTCATGTTCCCCGTGTCTCCAGAAAAGTCAGAATTCTCCTGTCTCCAGAAAGGAGGGAGGCCCGGCCCCAAACTTGCAGAAAATTCCAACCCCACAAAGGCAACAAAGCCCCACTTAGGGTGGGGGTAGCGGCCTGATAGGTCCCTAGAGGGTGGAAAGCCAAGGCTGGTAAAGAATGGGATAGGAGGCACTGGCCAAGGCAGTGACCACTTAATCTGCTGCAGGACAAGCTGCGGACAGGGGAGAAGGCAGTGGTCCGTTTCCGCTTCCTGAAACACCCAGAGTACCTGAAGGTGGGCGCCAAACTGCTGTTCCGGGAGGGTGTCACCAAGGGCATCGGCCATGTCACTGATGTGCAAGCCATTACAGCAGAAGCCCAAGCCAACATGGGCTTCTGAGTCCCCCAGGCAGACAGCTCTACTGCTGTCCCTACAATATATGAGGTGACTTTGGACTGTGCTGCCCCCTGTTGGCGGCTCTGTGTTAGTAGGCTAGGGAGAGGAGTACTGTCTGCCACTTGCTCCCTGCTGCCTTCCTGAAGAGGTACAAGCTTGGTGTGGCCAGGGAGGGGGAGTACTGAGGGAGATGACAGAATTCAGGGCACTGCGCAGAAGCTCGTGCCCACCTGGTTGGCTCATCAATCCTGTGGCCCGTGTACTGGAGCTGACTGCATCCACTATCCTCAGTTCCTCGGCCCCACTATCAGGACTGGCTTGTTTTGCTGGTGTGGTCCCTGCACTTCAGGAATTGTCACAACTGGGGGTGGCTCTCAAAAGCACTCCTTTTTCTATACCTCGTCTCAAGGTCATGTAAGTTGCCCATCTCTACCTGACTGTAGGCAAAAGATACCTGCTCTTGGCCATGTGGTGGCCCAGGGTCTAAAGAAACGGTACATGGACAATGAATGGTACTGTTCCCACTCCGTGCTGAGGCCTGAGGCCTCTTCCTCAGCTTTATCTCCCTTCCCTTCTGGACTCAAGGGCCATTTCCCAGTTCCTCTTTCACATGCCCCACAGGTGCTATTTGTTGTGCTGGCCCAGACGTGGGGCTGCCAAGCTAAGGCTTGGCATACCAAAGGTCAGCTGCATGTCAGTCAGTCTCGTCCTCTGTTAGCTTTCCTGCTGGATCAAATAATGTTTTACTTTCACAGACTGGTGGCTGGGGAATCTGACCCACAGTTCACTATCCTGCCACTCTTACCCCACCTTTCTGCTCCCTCTCTCGTTTTAGTAATTTTTAGTAACCAGCTCCTTCCCTCTGTTACAGGGAACCAGGAGGAAAGGGAAAGATGTTGCCATATTTCCTATTCTTTAGGCATGGATTCCCTCCTTTCCCTTTGTGTGTCCTGGGTTCCCATGGACTCAGGGATTTGTTGGTTGAGGTTCCTCTGCATATATATGTGTGTGAGTGTGTGTATATATGTATATATATTTAAATACACATATGTATTGTACAGAATAAAAATGTTTTGTTGAATACACTGTGCTTATGCTTAAGATACAGGCTCAGCTTCCTTCCAGAGCCAGATTCCTCTCCAGGATTACAGACAAGTGAAATCCCAACATTCCTGAGCCCTGAATATGAAAAGAACCCATCCAGTTCCTCATTTGCCATTCTTTTCCTCTGCCTTAGAGAGGATCAGTGTTCCAGTATGGTAACCAAGGATTCTGGCCTGTTTTGCATATTCTTGGAGTGAGCAGAGTAGAAAGTGAAACAGAAGCCTTTCAGCTGAAATAGGTATATACCCTGCATTTGAGGAGCTGCCATTTGGTAGTGTTCACAATGGTAAGGAGCCCGCTTCTGTGCCCTGGCAGAGATTTGGAGATTGGAGTGCCAGCTACTTAAAGCAGAGTAGAATTTAGAGGCAAATGGTAATCTGGTCTCCACATGTTTTACATAGCCTAAATTAGACTTTTGGAGCTGTGAGGGCCACCTGGCCAAATCTTAGTCCCTCTTCCTGTTTCCAAGTCCAGATTACCTGATTATCATGTTATGAATAGAGAAATAGGACCCAAGGCTAAAGTCAACTGTAAAAAAACAGGAACTGCATTTTGAGCACTAAGGGAAAAAAATGATAAATGTGGCCTAAGGCCCTATGGGGGCATTCTACCTCTAGAGTATTAGAGTGATAGCTTCCCTACCACTCAGCCTCAGGGTTTTTTTTTTTTTTTTTTTTTTTTTTTTGATTGATTGATTGTAGACACGAGGTCTTGTCATGTTGCCCAGGCTGGTCTCAAACACCTGGCTCAGGCAATCCTCTCACCTCCGCCTCCCAAAGTGCTGGGATTACAGGTGTTAGCAACCGTACCTGGCTAGCCTCAGCTTTAAAAAATATAACTGGTTTAACTTGCTATGGAAGTCTGTGGTCAAAGAACTTCCTCCTGAATTAGGCACTCTGAGCTGTTTACTTCCCTCTGTACAGTTGCTGATAAACAGCTATGAGGAAGGAAAGATAAGATTCAGCAGAAAGTTACTTCAGCTTTCCCCCAGCACTGCCTTTGCATGTCTGTTTGCTGTGCCCTCCACAGACTCATTGCCAGTATGCTAGGGCAGGGCTGGCATTCCCAGGAACACAGAAGGTATGTTGCTGGAATTGTCTTTATTAGCCATCCACTTACCTCCTCCCCCTCCTCTTATAAGTTTGGGTCTCTGTAAGTACAATGAAACCTAAATATCTACCACACTATTTTTCTATATGACTCCTTTATGCCAGTCAGCCCAACTATTAAAAATTTATTCAGCTTGATCTATACAGTACCCAAAAGAGACATCCAGTTTGTTTACTTATCTTTTTCCTGGATTAAGAAAGGAAGTTTTGGAAAATCACATCTCAGTACTTAATAAGCCATCTCCAGGAAATAGCGAGCCACTCTGCAACATTAAAAGAACATTTAGGGGAATAAAAAAGGTATATAAGGCAGGCTCCCTAGGAGTGTATACATTTTTATTGTCTCAGTTTTGGTAATCAGATCTAAAATCTTTCACTATATATATTCATTCAATGAATGTCAGCACCTATTATGTGCAAGGCAATGTGAAGAATTCTTGCCTTTAAGGAGCCACAGATCTACTCTAAAAACTGCCATGCACACAATGAATACTTTTTTATTAGATATTCAAGTACCATAAAAGAAAAAAATTTTTTTTTGAGTTGAAGTCTCACTCTGTCACCCAGATTGGAGTGCAGTGGCACGCTTCCGGCCACTGCAGCCTCGACCTGCTGGGCTCCGGCGATCCTTCCGCTCAGCCTTCCAAGTAGCTGGAACTACAGGCACGCTACCACGTCTGGCTAATGTTTTGATTTATTGCAAAGATGAAGTCTCACCAAGTTGCCCAGGTGGGTCTCGAACCTGCGGGCTCGGGCAATCCACTCACCTCGGCCTCCCAAAGTGCGGGATTACAGGCTGAGCCACCAAGCCCAGCCGAAATTTTTTTTTTTTTGAGTTGGAGTCTCATTCTGTCCCCCAGACTGGAGTGCAGTGGCCGCTCCCGGCCACCACAGCCTTGACCTGCTGGGGCTCCGGCAATCCTTCTGCTTCAGCCTTCCAAGTAGCTGGAACTACAGGTACACACTACCACGCCCAGCTAATTTTTTGATTTATTGGAGAGATGAGGTCTCGCCAAGTTGCCCAGGATGGTCTCGAACCCGCGGGCTCAGGCAATCCACTCACCTCAGCCTCCCAAGGCACGGGATTACAAGCTGAGCTACTGAGCCCGGCTCGAAAATATTTTTGAAGAAAAAAAATTCCTGCTAGACCCAGTGGTTTTCATATCTTCCTTCTTTCAAACTAAATATAGAACCCCCAATTTATAAATAAGCTGCAAAGTAGAAGTTGGTTTGTATATAAGTATGGGAGAAGGATATGTACACCATTCTCCCTGCCCATTTCACCCTCTCACCTAGCTCAATTAATCTTCAGTTGGGTTCCCTGTGTAATTCAAGGTTCCTCATATCAGAAAAGCCAAAAAAGCTTACTATCACATATAAGAATGGAGATTAAGAATACAGTACTCTAAACATGGACAAGTGCAAAAAGTTTAAAACCATAAGCTAAATATTCATACATCACTGGGGAAGAGATGAACATGCCAGTAATTCCAAAAGCCTAAACACTTACCTCTTAAATTTGTACTCCAGGGTTTAAGGAAATGTTACTGTCCCCTAAAAAGTTGGCTGTTGGTATCTTCTAGGTCACTGTTTCTCAAACTTTAAGATACACATTGGGGTGTCTTGTTAATAAAAAAATTCCAATTCAATGGGAGAGGTTGTGAGGCGATTCTAAGGCTGTTCCTCAAATCATACTTGGAATAGCAAGGTTCTAGAGATGATCTAGTTTGGATTATGACTTACCAGTCTAAACAGAGTTCCTGAAATGGGCCAATAGAAATCTCATTTTACTATATTAGAACAAAATGCATTAGAACAAATGCACTATATATACTACAGTCAATGGCTATAATAGGCTTTACTTGTATGAAACTGTTTATTGAGTAGCATGTGTACAGAGTCTGGACCATATCACTTAGGTTTTAAGTTTTCACCTCACATTCTCCAACTGAAAATACAGAATTCTGGTCAAGGTATCATCTAAACTGCCCCTGTCACAGAAGTAGGGAGGTATGTTTGTTTGTTTTTTGATTTGTGGTCTCACTTTTGTCACCCAGGCTGGAGTGCAGTGGTACACTCACGGCCTCCGCGGCCTAGACTTGCTGGGCTCTGGCGATCCTTCTACCTCAGCCTTCCAAGTAGCTGGAACTACAGACACACGCCACCACACCTGGCTAGTTTTTTTGGTGTGATTTATTATAGAGACAAGGTCTCACCAAGTTTCCCAGGCTGGTCTCAAACCCCTGGGCTCAAGCAATCCTCTCACCTTGGCCTCCCAAAGTGCTGGGATTACAGGCTGAGCCACCACACCTGGCTGCCTGGAGTTTTTTTTTGTTTTTGTTTTTTGTTTTTTTAATTTTTAAACTCAGTTCCTTTCTGTACCAACTTTAAGTTAGGTACTTTAAATATATCATTTTTAATCTTCAATAATCTGTAAGATATTATTTCAGTTTTTCAGATGAGAAAGTGACTTGCCCAAGGCTATCAGTGCAATAAGGGAGCTGTGTTTGGAACACATCTAGGCACCAGGGTCCACACACTTTTTACTGCATGACACTGCCTTCCTAAATGCTAAAGATTAAAAACTCAATGGGAGTATGAGTTTTTTACATCTCCATCAGCAATGGGATTAGAATCCAAGTCTGAGTAGAGATGGGAACCTGGTTTTTTGTTTTTTTGTGTTTTTTTTGAGTTGGAGTCTCACTCTCTCACCCAGACTGGAGTGCAGTGGCCACTCCCGGCCACCGCAGCCTTGACCTACTGGGCTCTGATGATCCTTCCGCCTCAGCCTTCCAAGTAGCCAGAATTACAGGCATGTGCTACCACACCCGGCTGATTTTTTGATTTACTGTAGAGATGAGGTCTCGCTGCCCAGGCGGGTCTCAAACCCGCGGGCTCAGGCAATCCACTCACCTCAGCCTCCCAAAGGCGCGGGATTACAGGCTTGAACCACCGAGCCCGGCTTGGATTATTTTTTGTAGCAAAAATTTCATAAAGTTGCAGGGTTCCCTGAGAAGGAAACATTTATTTCCATCTCCCAGGTTACAGATAAAATACTAAAATCCTTCAGGCAAGCCTGAGGGCAGCACTAGTGTGTTAATGGCTTAAAAAATGATTCCAATGTGTGCATGCCCTCAGGCCTGGGGCGTTTATTACTGGAGGCCAAAGGACTCTTGGGATTTCTTTTGCCCTGAGGAGAAGTGGTAGAGACAACCTGGGGGTTTGAGGAGTGGGGCTGCAAAAATGATTTCTGCAACTCCAATGCAAAATGATAGTCCATGTGTTCTGGCATCTCCCACACTGGTACCAGGGAGCCACACTTCTCACAGGGCACTTGGTCCTCAGCAGCTAGAAGACTCGAGGCTATAGTTGTCTTCTGAGTCCCCTCCAGATCATACTGAGAAGCTGAAGAAGCAAGGATGCTATGGCTGTTTGGGGCTGAATCCATTTCTGCAGGAATTCCTTTAGAGGATTCTAGCTTCAACACCCCTTCACAAACAGGGGCACAGTCTGGATACTCTGTTGGAACAGAGTTTGGTAATTCTTTAGAGTTGGGCCATGGATCTTGTGAAGGGAAAAATACTGAAGAATTATTCAAATGTTTCTGCTTTAAAAGCAGACTTTTCTGCTTAAAGAAGGGCTCGATTCCTGTAGTTCGACTGGTTTGGAAAGGTAACAAGGGCTTGGATGATGAATAGCTCATGGAAGCCTGAGTGATTGCAGAAAGTGAAGCTTTTTTGACTTTCTGCTTTTCTGCAGCTTTTTGGAAGAATGATTCCAGGAAGGTGGATGTTTTCTTAGTGGCTGTCACTGCTGGGCCACTTCCCTGGTTCTTAACTTCTGAAACGGTAACTGGCACCTTTGGCAGAGAACTTGTATCACTGCTCAAGAAACTGGTGATATCTGTGCAGGATGAAGGGGCAGAGGCAGAGAATTTGGTAGCACAGAGGAAAACCATTGTGAGAGGAGGGGACCTATATAGAAAGTAAAAGAACAAGATGATTAGCAGTAAGTCACTATTTCTGCTTGGGACAGATTCAATTCATAAGTGACTGGGATTCTGGTTCTGCCATGAAAAATTATTCCTTACTTCAATGGTTCTCAAACTTTAACATGCATCAGATTAACAAATCTGGAATGAACAGAGAATTTAAGTTTAAAACAATTTCCTAGGTGATGCAATGTTGCACCTTAATAACTCTCATACAGTAATGACCCACCTTTACACAGCTAGGTATTACTGTTTTTATAAGATACAATTACGGAGCTATAATTTGGGATTGGGGCAAGATATTTTATTTAGATCAGCAGAAAAGCTTTAGAATATTTAGGTAAGACTTAAAACATTCTCTTAGCTATATTCTCCTAGTTTTTAAAAAAATTTTTTTTCATTTTTATTTTTTAGTAACTACTAATGAGGATATAGTCTTCTGTTTATTTTTGTGGGTTTTTTTAGATTGGAAAATATAGTTTATTTAGAAAGTAAATTGGAGAGAGAGAGAGGAGATTCACCTCCCGGAGATAGGGGAGGAGGCCAAAGCTAGGAAAACAATGGCAGCCATAGCTCAAATAACCACATGTCCAGACCAGAGCTTAGCAAAGCAATGACCTAGTCTCCTGTTTTTAAACAGGGCACTACCTAACCCAAACCAGCTTTCTACTCTGGAGTTTCTAGAGAATGAAATTCCACAACCTCTTTTGGTTACCAATCCCAGTCTCAGAAACATTGTAAGAAATTCCGGTCACAAAGTTCCTCATTATGTGTAATCACCCAAAAAAATTTCACGTACTGAATTTCAGTCGTTGAAACATGTTTTTATATACCAATTACTCCTTAAATGAGTTAAAAGGTAAATGCTCTTTTAAAGTTATTATGAAGCCAGGAGCGGTGGCTCATGCCTGTAATCCCAGCACTTTGGGAGGCAGAGGTGAGAGGATTGCCTGAGCCCAGGGATTCAAGACCAACTTGAGCAACTTGGCAAGACCTTGCCTCTACAATAATTTTTTTAAAAAATTAGCCAGACATGGTGGCAAACGCCTATAGTTCCAGCTACTTGGAAGGCTGAGGCAGAAGGATCACCTGAGCCCAGCAGATTGAGGCTGTGGTGGCCATGAGCATGCCACTGCACTCCAGCCTGGATGACAGAGTGAGACTCTGACCCAAATAAATAAATAAATACATAAATACATAAATAAAGAAAGTTATTATGGAAGTATCCCACTATCATCAGGATTCATGCTTTGGAAGTCTCATATTTAGATAATTCTAAGGCTTCTCTGTCAGTAAATCAGACACTATTGGTGAGTTATATTTGTTATAGTTTGTCAATTTAGAAGTTTTCAAATAAGATTTCATTTGAATATAGTATCATAATTATCATATTATCAGTAAAACCATCCAATATTTGAAAATAAGTAGCCAGGCATGGTGGCACCTGCCTGTAACCCTGTTACTTGGGAGGTTGAGGAGGGAGGATCACCTGAACTCAGGAGTTCAAGATTGCTATGATTGTGCCACAGTATTTCAGCTTGGGCAATAATGAAACCTTGACTTTTAAAAAAAGAAGAAGAAAGTCTTTAGTATTTTTTGTAGTTGAAGTCTCACTCTGTTGCCCAGGCTGGAGTGCAGTGGTACAATCACAGCCACCACAGTCTTGACCTGCTGGGCTCAGGTGATTCTTCTGCTTCAGCCTTCAAAGTAGCTGGAACTACAGGTGTGTGCTACCTACCTGGCTAATTTTTTGATTTATTGTAGAGATGAGGTCTCGTCAAGTTGCCCAGGATGGTCCAAACTCCTGGCAGACCTCTTACCTCAGCCTCCCAAAATGCTGGGATTATAGGCATAACCCACTGTACCTGACCTATTTTTTATTTTATTATTATTTTTTGAGTTGGGGTCTCGCTCTGTTTTCCAGTCTATAGTGCAGTGGCACAATCACTGCTCATTGCAGCCTCGACCTCCTGGGGTCAGGTTATCCTCCTGCCTCAGCCTCCAGAGTAGCTGGGACTACAGGCACACAATACCATGCCTGGCTAATTTTTTAAAAACTTTTTGTAGAGATGAGGTTTTACTATGTTGCCCAGGCTGGTCTTGAACTCCTGGGTTCAAGCAATCCTCCTGCCTTGGCCTCCCAAAGTGCTGGGATTAGAAGTGTGAGCCACCATGCCTGGTTGATCGATCCTTCCTTCGATCGATCCTTCCTTCCTTCCTTCCTTCCTTCCTTCCTTCCTTCCTTCCTTCCTTCTTTCCTTCCTTCCCTTTCCTTTCCTTTCCTTTCCTTTCCTTTCCTTTCTTTTCTTTTCTTCTTTCCTTCTTTATTTCTTTATTTTTTGAGTTGGAGTCTCACTCGGTCGCCCAGACTGGAGTGCAGTGGCCGCTCCCGGCCACTGCAGCCTCGCCTACTGGGTCCAGTGATCCTTCCGCCTCAGCCTTCCGAGTAGCCGGAATTACAGGCATACGCTACCATGCCCGGCTGATTTTTTGATTTATTGTAGAGATGAGGTCTCGCTGCCCAGGCGGGTCTCGAACCCGCGGGCTCAGGCAATCCACTCACCTCAGCCTCCCAAAGGCACGGGATTACAGGCTGAGCCACCGAGCCCGGCTGATTTTATATTTATAATCGATATACATCAATAAGTGAAGAACCAGTTTATCTTTCTCTCGTATTTCTATTGTGAATTTGGAATACTTTAAAAAAATGTAAAAGGCTAAATTAAATAATTAAAGGATTCCAGTCCTGAAAATCATTACAATCTGGACAGAAAATAAACATGCTCCAGAAAGAGGCTTATATTTCATGACCAAGAGACGTGAAGTTTATTTATGAATATGTCATTTGGTACAACACCAAGTGGAGCCTGTAACTGAGTTTGGATGTTAAACAGAGATTAACAGTGAATACAGGTTACTTTTGAAGATGCTTTTAAGAATAGAACAATTGGCCAGGTGCAGTAGCTCACACCTGTAATTCTAGCACTTTGGGAAGCCAAGGCAAGAGGACTGCCTGAGCCCAGGGGTTCAAGACCAGCCTGGACAACTTGGTGAAACCTTGTATCTACAATAAATCAAGAAAAATTAGCTGGTGGTGCACACCTGTAGTTCCAGCTACTTAGAAGGCTGAAGCAGGAGGATGACCTGAGCCCCACAGGTCGAGGCTGTGGTGGCCATGAGCACGTCATTGTATTCCAGCCTAGGCGACAGAGTGAGATTCTGACACACACACACACATACACAAATATATGAGGGAGGACCCCCCCAAAAAACTCCAAATTATACCTTTTTGAGGCCAGACCCCTTGAAGGACAGGCTTCTCCCACTTAAGTATTCTAGGAACCCATCAGCATCAGTGTACCAGCTTGTACTGTAAGAGGCTGCATTTAGCTTCAGTGAAATTCTTTGTGGCAAACAGGTGACTGGTTCTTCCACCATGACAACACACCTGCCCACAATGGGCTGAGTGTTCAGCAGTTTTTGCCCCAAATGGCATGACCTCCATGTCCCACCTTCCCTATTCACTTGATCTATTTAAAAAGTAACCTTTTTGTTTGTTTGGTTCCCCAATGGGAAAAGTCCTCAAAGGGAAATGTTTTGCTGATGTGGGAAGAGGTGAAACAAAAAAATGGCAGAAGCACTAAAAGGCATCAAAATTGACAAGTTCAAAAACTGTTTTGAGTATGGAAAAAGTGTCTTGACAGGTGTATTGCATCAAGTGGAGAGTACTTTCAAGGTGGCTGAAGTTTAAACATGTAAGAATGAATACACAGCTATTATTATTATTATTTATTTATTTTTTTGAGTTGGAGTCTCACTCTGTCACCCAGACTGGAGTGCAGTGGCCGCTCCCGGCCACCGCAGCCTCAACCTGGGGGGATCCGGCGATCCTTCCGCCTCAGCTTTCCAAGTAGCTGGAACTACAGGCGCACACTACCACACCCGGCTAATTTTTTTGATTTATTGTAGATATGAGGGCTCACCAAGTTGCCCAGGCAGGTCTTGAACCCACGGGCTCAGGCAATCCACTCACCTCAGCCTCCCAAAGTGCTGGGATTACAGGCTGAACCACCGAGCCTGGCCTTGGTTTATTGTAGAGATGTGGTCTTGTTATGTTGCTCAGGCTAGTCTCAAACTCCTGAGCTCAGGCAATCCTCTCGCCTCCGCCTTCCAAAGTGCTGGGATTACAGACTTGAGTCACCGCACCCAGCTCACTTTGCCTTCTAATCTAACCCTGGGAACTGGAATGCACCTATTACAGGACAAGGAGTTGCAGCTGAGCTGCCTTTGAGGTTGCTACTGTGTTTTATCCCTTAGTAACAGAGCTAAGATGCCCACTAATTTTAGAGCTAAGACAGGGCGTAAGTTTCTTCTGAGAAGATGAACTAGAAAAGAACTCACCATTCAGTTTGGATTCCAGAAGTATTACAGTTCTTGATGACAGCAAATGCATCATGGCTCATCTTGTGAGCATCATAGCGGGTAAGGGCACAGCAGCGGCGCAGGCTGCTGAGACGTTTGTCTCCTTGTACACGAATGCTCACAGCTAACTGGGTGGCCACCCTGTCATTCTGTGGGTGGAAAAGGATTTATGCCAGAAATAAAGTTAGCAGGAGCATCTGGATTCTTGTACTGAACTGCATGATAGGAAATTAAAAGAATGAGGGTGAAAATGTTTTAGAAACAATAAGTTTATAAATCAAGAGCATAAGGTCACTAAGCAAACAATGAAGCCATTTATTTCAGCATCTATTCCTATAAACTAAAAATGTATACTGAGTACTTATTAGGCACAGGACACTGGATTAGGTAATATGAGGGATGCAAAGGCATTTCCTGTTTCTATATATCTCATATGCTAATAGTATATATTCTATACTGTACTACAGAGTGACATTTCTGAATAAAAATCCAATTACAGTTTTACCAAAAAAAAAAAAAAGTTTATGCTATTTCTGAGTATAAAAATAATTGGAGGCCAGGCACATGGCTGAAGTCTGTAATCCCAGCACTTTGGGAGGCCAAGGTTCGTGACCAGCCTGGGCAAACTGGCGAGACCTCGTCTCTACAATAAATCAAAATAAAACAACAACAACAATAAGATGGACATGGTAGCAAGTGCCTATAGTTCCAGTTCCTTGGAAGGCTGAGGTGGAAGGATCACCTGGGCCCAGCAGGTCGGGGCTGCAGTGACCGTGAGCATGCCACTGCACTCCTCTCTGGGCAATAGAGACTCCAACACAAAAATAAACAAATAAATTTAAAATAATAATAATAATAATCGGAGAAGCCAATCTGGGTGATGGAACATTCTGTATCTAAGCAGAAAGATTACAACAAATACCTATAGTACTATATCCTATTTTGTGACTGAAGGAAGGGTTCAAGTAATTGTCTGAAAGCTAGAATGTTAAGATTGAATAGTGGATCCAGTCTTCAAGTCTTATTGTTTTACTGCCCTTATGTCTTATGCTTAATAACATCAGAAGTTTCCACTAACACCTCCTTCTTACAGTCCATCTAGAGAAGATAGAATCTAGTGAGCCTGCCACTGAAGAGCAAGATCATGACTCACTCCTCAGTGAAGTCTAAGCAACTGAATACTGTTGATGCTTAGCAAAGTGAGCAAAAAAGGTCAAGGTGAAAATTCTATAGTGAGAATACAGACTCCTTCAAAAATCAAAAGATGCTAATGAGAAGAAATACCCGAAAGGCAAACAAGCTGAGAGTGGGAACTATTTTTTGGATGAAAAATACATTTGAAGGCCGGACGTGATAGCTTATGCCTATAATCCCAGCACTTTGGGAGACCGAGGTGAAAAGATTGCTTGAGTCCATGGGTTTGAGACCAGCCTGGGCAACTTGGTGAGATCTCATCTATACAATAAATCAAAAAATTAGCTGGGCGTGGTGGCACTGCCTGTAGTTCCAGCTACTTGGAAGGCTGAGGCGGAAGGATCATCCGAGCCCTGTAGGTTGAGGCTGCGGTGGCCATGAGCGTGCCACTGCGCCCAGCCTGGGTGACAGAGTGAGACTCCAGCTCAAAAAAAAAAAAAAAGAATACATTTGAGCCAGGTGTGATGTTTTGGAAAGCCAAAGAAGGCCAAGGAGTTTGCTTAAGGCCAGGAGTTCCAACATAGTAAGATTCTGACCCTATTTTAAAAAAAAAATTAGCCAGGCATGGGTGGCATGCTTTTATAGTCCTAGCTACTGAGAAGGTTGAGGCAGGAGGATTGCATGCGCCCAGGAGTTCGAGGCTGCAGTTAACTATGATCACCCCACTGCATTCCAGCCTGAGTGAACCAGTGAACCAGGTTAGGCATCAGAGAGAGGCCCTCTCTCTCAAAAAATAAAAAACAAAAATAAGTAAAATTATACAGGTTTATATAGAGAGAATACAAAGTGGCAATTACAAAAGAGTCCTTGTTGACCAAAACCATTCAACTATAACTGAATGCCTACTATGTATGTTTAGACAATGTCTAGAGATACAAGAAAGAGCAAAATAAAGTCCAAGCCTCCATGGATCTTATGTTGTAGTAGGAACTATAGATGATAGCAAGTAGACATGGAATAGAAATGACTACAGGGATGAGTGCTATGAAAATAAGCAGAGTAAGGCAGAGGGTGATGGAGGTTGCTGAGGTGATAGGATAACTAGGGAAGGCCTCTTGGAGAAGGTGAAATTTGTGCAGAGATTTGAATGAAGTTAGGAAGCAAATTTTAAGACTATATGAGCAAAGAATCTCCAGGGCAAAGGAACAACAGTGCAAAGGGTGATAAGGTAAGAATTTCCTTGGTGTGTTAGATAAAAGGGAAGGAGGCCAGTGGAGTGGAGGCTAGAGTAGGTGAGGGGAAGAAGATAGGAGATGAGGTCAGAGAAGTAGCTAGAGACTAGATCGTATTTG